ATATATATATATATATATAACAGAAAATGCTAAGGAACTAAAAGCATTATTATACTACAGAGAGTAAACTTGAATTTTAAAAGAACAAATTGGTGATCATCACAAATTAGGATCTACAAAAGGGAAGATGAGGCCAGACTGTGTTTTTATTTGCAGGTCAGATGGCAGTGGAGAGGGCACTGGCGTCCCAAACATACAGAGAGGTCCATATGGTGTCAGAGACAGACACAGGCACCCTGTCAGGGCTGTTGAGAGGCAATGATAGTTTGTGCCAGGGGCTGAGGGCACAGGGCGTATGTCGTAGTATCAACAACACAAATGGAAAGATGAAGGAGAAAACACAGAGGGAACAATGAAAACTCGGAAAAAGGGCAGAGGAATAAACCCGGAGTGAGTGCTACATATTATTTGTCTGTCTGCCTTTGCTTGAGTGCTTTCACTCCAGCTCAGACTGTGTGTGCATGTAAGTCAGACCGAGCTGAAAAAATGAAGAGTACACAATTTGTGCATGCACGCGAGAGAGACAGAGAGAAAGAGAGAAAAGGGCGACTCACGATGGTCCCGAAGTGAGAGTGTCTCTATGTCAACAAGGTCACCAGCTCACTCTGCAGTCAGATCCATGTGTGCAACCCCACAGAAAAACCTTATAAACCAAAAAATATACATTAGAACATTATTAAACTGTAATTAACAACTGCCCCCCAGCCCAAACCGAAGAGTCAAGACCAAACAGAGGGCTTGTGAAAAAGGTGGTGCAGAAAACCACTAAAATTGACACAAGCTAACAGCTTCTTCCTGCATCTCTCTCATGCACACACACACACAACCAAACACACATACACAGAGTTAATCCTATGCAGAGAAATTATCCTGCTCCACTCGTTGAAGCCCTGCTGACCCTACCTTCCCCCATTTAGCCAGCATTTTGCCTGAGAGATAAAAAAAAGAGCAAGTGACAGAGAGAGCATCAGCTGGCTATTACCCATTCATGCAAATAAACCATATTTGAAATTGAGAAAGAGAAACATAGAGAGAGAGGGAGAGACACATCGAGAGAGGAGCTGTGTGCTGACCAAACAAAAGCCACAGAAGCCCAGTTTTATTGATTGAGCTATTGATCCATACACAGATACACAGAGCCGACAGGTCAACAGTTCCACTAGACATCAGGGATCTACCACACTGTTAAGCACGTCCACCAAATGGATGTTAGCAGTGGAGCAGAGGACAATATGTTTAATTTAATTTAATAATATAATATTTGATATAAAATATTTCACATTCTAGAAAGACAACACCAGCATTTTATATTTTGAGTCAAATCAACAATCCTGAAAGGCCATTGGATGAAATACTTCAGAGATTATAGAACCCCTAGTGGGTTTGCATGTTTTAGTCAACAATTTTCCAAAGCACACATTCATTTTTAGATTTACTTCCCTACTTCATGGATTTCAGTTCTTGCCACAAATTCACTTAATGCTTGTTTGAGATTGATAATCCATCATAGTGAACATTTAGTTGCTTAAAAGCAAAATAAAGCAAACCCATTCATGCTTTTGAACAATGACTTCGGTCCGATAAAAAAAACGTTTGGTTTCTTCTTTGGTTGAAAATTCATGTGTCTATTCCTTTCTATCACTGGAAGATACAGAATCTATGAATATGAAAATATTGTACTTCCGAAGCTGAATCACTGTACAGTGAATAATACGTCTCCTACGAAAGCTGAAAAGTTCAAGTCCACTCATCATTCTCTGCACGAATCACGCTTGTCTACGTGTACGTGTTGAACCTAGATTGAAGGTCCTCGGCTGTGGCTCAGCATGTACAGCGGGTCGTCTACTAATCAAAAGGTTGATGGTTTGATCCCCAGCTCCTCCCTCTGCATGTCGAAGTGTCCTTGGGAATGGTACTGAACCCCAAATTGCTCCCAATGCTGTGCAAGTTTGTGTGTGAATGGTTTGTTAGTTTCTGATGAGCAGTTGGCACCTCTGACATCAGTGTATGATTGTGTGTAACTGTCACATATAACGGACTCTGACTGGTCGGAAGACATAAAAGGTGCTATATAAGTGCAGTTC